CCCCAAAATGTCTTCCCTTCAAAAGCCACCCACAACTCAACTTCACTAAAACTTCCAGTCAACAATGGCTTTTTTACAAACTATTAGTCTCCATGTGTTTGGAATTTTTTTCACTCCTTTTAACTAACATTTCAAATTAACCACTTTATTCGCCTTTAAAAAGCAGCCTTCTCTTAAACTTCTCTGATACCACACTCACCCCATTTCCTCCTGTTTTTCTGGTCATTCCTTAGTCTTTGGGTTCTTCCTCTGGCTACCTCCAGGCCCTTGTTCCTGAGCTTGCACCAGGTGGGTGATTTCGTGCACCCTCTGTGCTTCAAATGCACATCTGTATTCTGATGATTTCTTTTTCTGTGGTTCCAGCATAGATCTTTCTTCTGAATTCCAGAAACACACCTAGTCGGCATCTCCTCTTGGGTGTTCAAAATGGCACCTCAAATTACCTTGTCCTGATCTGAAGGTATCTTCTTTCCCCAGATTTTATCCTACATGCCTTATCTTAGCAAATGATGCTACCATCTACCTAGTTCCACAAACCTGAAACCTGGATGCCTGTCTTTCTTGAATCTTCTAATTCCCTCATCCTCTGCATCTAAACATCACCAGGTTATTCAGGTTTCACTAACTGTTTATCAAGTGTTAGCACGTTCCACCATACCTACTGACAGCATTCTACTATAAGCCACTGTAATTTCCAATCTAGATTATTGAACCAGCCTCCTATTATATTCCCCCCAATGAAGCCTCTACATTTTTCAAGTGTTCTCTGAATGAATTCAATCTGATTCCCTCCCATCCTTTGTCCCAGGATAGCTGCCATAGTGTACAAGTCTATTCTAGCCATGTCTTTAGATTTCTACTCCTTGTTCCCAAGTGGCTTCCATACTTTTATTTCCCTGCATAGCTCATTCTTACTCTTGCATTTGCAGCCTTGACAACCTCTACCACCTTTTACCACAACAAGTGTCACCCCATTTCACATAGCTAATTTGTACTCATCCTTAAGGTCTTGTTTGGACATCATTTCCTTCTGGAAACTTCTCTTGACAACCCTTCCCCTCAAAACCAGTTAGGTACCAGTCTTATGTGCCCTCATAATGTTTTTCCCCATCAATGCACATTCACACTGTTTACTAGTTTGTATCCCTCAGTGGCCAGCAGTCTACTCAAGAGCAGGTATGCCTTTTTCACTATTAATCCTCTGTTATGCAGGTGTGTAATAAATTTTTGTGTGAATAATCGTTTTGCCCATGCCTTTAAAAAAATTTTTTTTAATTGTTTTGAGAGAGGAAGGAAGAGGGAGGGAGAGAGAGATAGAAACATCAATGATGAGAATCATTGATAGGCTGCTTCCTATACCCTTGGCCGGAATCAAGCCTGGGACCCATCAGTCCTCAGGCGGATACTCTATCCACTGAGCCAAATCAACTAGGGCTGCTCATACCTTTTTATCTCTTTTATTTGCTCATGTTTCGACACGTGGGGCCTTGGGAAAGTGCTTTCAATTGGCTGCCTATATCCTCCAACCACCTTCTTTACCAAACTTTCACAAGCCAGGCAACATTCCTCAGGGTTCCTCTAAGGCAGCGGTTCTCAACCTATGGGTCGCGACCCCTTTGGGGGTCGAACGACCCTTTCACGGGTCGCCTAAGACCATCGGAAAACACATATATAATTACATATTGTTTTTGTGATTAATCACTATGCTTTATGTTCAATTTGTAACAATGAAATTGGGGGTCACCACTTGAGGAACTGTATTAAAGGGTCTCAGCATTAGGAAGGTTGAGAATCACTGCAGTAACCTAATCACTCCAGAGTCAGGTAGCAAACCTGCACAGCCCCTACATCCCCAAACCCACTGAAATTATTCAAATTCGACAATCACAAATTAACCCGCTTACCCTGCCTCTCCCATTCCTTCCTGCAAATAGCACAATCAGGTTTCTTACTCATGCTTTCCCCTGGCTCCCTCTGCCCCCTGACCCACCCTCCTTCCCGGTGTGGGCTTAAACTGCTTGTGAATGCATTTTAGAATTGGTTTGATATGAAATAATTTGTGCATGTGGCTAAGTGGTTGAGCATAGAACTATGAACGGGAAGATCACAGTTCATTTCCAGATTAGGACACATGCCCAGGTTGCTGGCTCCATCTCAAGTTGTGGGGCATGCACGAGGCAACCAATCAATGGTTCTCTCTCATTGTTGATGTCCTCTCTCTCTCTTTCTCTCTCTCTCTCTCCCTTTCTGAAATATATAAAAATACTTTTTAAGGAAGTATTTTGTACACTTAACAAGAACTGCGAAAATAAATGGTGATGGGGGAATGAAAACTGAGTTTGGGTGGTGGGTATACGGGTTTTTCCGCATTTCTATAACAACATCAACTAGCACACCTTAACGCCCACCACAGAACAAAAGCCTCGGCGAAAATGGGGCTGGAGGAGCGGAAGTAACAACTTGGTCCTCCCCCACATTTCCCCGCTCCATTGGGCCCCTTGAGTCTGGGCTGGCTTTGCGCAGCCGCACTTCTTCAGACTCCGGAACCTTTGCGCGTCGTTTCAACGTTTTCCAGTCGGCAGTGAAAGCGCACTTCCGGCCCCGACGGAAGTTGTTGCTCAGTCGTTTCCGAGGCGTTGTGAGGTAGAGGAGCCTTCCAAATGGATCGCAGCCGCAGCCAAAGCCGCAGCCGCAGCCGCAGTCGCAGCGGCAGCCGCTCCCGCTCCCGCTCCCCTCAGGGGGGTGAGTCTGG